GAGAGAGAGAGAGAGAGAGAGAGAGAGAGAGAGAGAGAGAGAGAGAGAGTAAGATATATAGATGGATGGATAGACGGATGGATGGATGGACGAACGGACGGACGGACAGACACACAGACAGATAATAAATGTTCCAGAAGCTTTACACACTTGCTGATGGGTATAGGTAAAGCATGCAAGTGTCAACGGTGATTGTCTGAAACTAAAACAATTGTACCCCTCTATTAGCCAACAAAATTGCAGCAATTTAAAACTGCACCAACCTGGTTTTTTTGGCCGTTTATGCTTTAGCAGGCGGTCCCAGACCCATCCAACTGATAGATTACATGCATACTATTAACAAACGACAATATATCTTTGTAAAGTAGGTAAGGAAGGGGAAAAAAGAATCTGTTCATTGACCTAACCTGCAGTGGGAGGCCTCAAACGCACACGCAGCTATTTTTTCATAAACTACATCACATATATAAATGTGTTAAGTATTTACTTCCTCTAATTAAACCACCTACCGCATACTCCACATGCCTGCTTGTGCATGCCATCCACAAATCTGATTCTGAAATCCTCTGCCTGGTAACGTGGCCCAACAACTACAAATCAAACAGAAAGGATGCTATTCTTACACAGTTCGGGTGAGTTTTCAATGTCTGTTTAATGATGTGCTTCATTTGCACAGAGAGACACAATCATTATTATTACACACCAACTTCTAGCTGGCCTCACTATGAAGCAATGCAGGATGAAGCCCATTTTCTTTATCCCAGTCCTCTTCTTCAACCCCATCCATAAAATATCCAAGGCCACCACCCCAGCCTCCTTTTTCTACCCTAGTCAAGCATGCAGTTTGTTTTCCATCCCAGGATCGTAGTGGACCCAGACATGATTCTAGTCTTCATGTGAGGACGTAGGTTTGAATCCCACTTCTAAATTCACATAACAAGGTATAACAGAATAAAGTTTATTTTGGCAGTATTTGAGATTGAAATAGCTCATAATATGTATGTGGTACCTGGCTTAAATAGTGCAAGCTGATAATTTCGACTACCAGGTGGCACTACCTACCCATATTAACCATGCTCTTGTCATTACCCTGATATATATTCAAGAGCTCATAATAGAGAAGAGTACGACACCGTTTTAACAGCGTTTTGCAGTTTTCAAGTTGTAAATATTCTATCAATATGTGAATAAATATATTCAAACTTTACCTTGTTTTCGTCTATGATTCTCCCCTAATCATATGACACCACCAATTTATCTGAAAATCGTATGTGTTATTCAAAAATCGGATGTCTGATGATAATCACAGTACTGTAGTGACACCCACACACGCGCGCGCACTCAAACACGCACGCACACACGCACGCACACAAACATGCACGCACACGCGCACAGAAACACCCACACACACGCGCGCGCACACAAACACGCACCCACACACGCACGCACACAAACACGCACACACACGCGCGCGCACACAAAACACGCACACACGCGCGCACACAAACACGCACCCACATGCACGCACACAAAACACGCACACGCGCACGCACCCACACAATCACGCACCCACACGCGCGCGTGCAGGCATATTGAGACACACGTGCGCACGCACTCACGCGCGCGTGCAGGCACATTGACACACACGTACGCACGCACACGCACCCACACACGCTCGCACACAAACACGCACCCACACACGCGCGCGTGCAGGCACATTGACACACACGTACGCACGCGCGCACACAAATACGCACCCACACACGCGCGCGTGCAGGCACACTGACACACACGTACGCACGCACGCAAGCGCACACGCATACACCACTAACGCAAGCGCATAAATCTCATAGACACAGTGATAATCAGCTGCAATCACCTGGTGAATTATTATTATTACCTGGTGAATAATGATCACCCACCTCAGTGACGCCGACACCTCGGTCGGAAAGGCCGCTTACATTCCGCTATGATGCTAGTCGACGTGAGCTAGCATCACCTAACAATGCGAAATAAATGGCACCGGTGACAGCTCTAATGTCGCGATACGGGCACATGCAGCGTCGTACGACGAAACAGCAGCGGCTGTGTCTGGTACGCGTGAATTATGTATGAACTGCCCACGTTGCTAGCTTAGCATACATCACGATAGCGAGTCAGCGAATATGCCTGTGGCTCCAACTGCACCTGCTGCTCCTCCTCCTCCTCCTACTGCTGCAACTGCTGCTGCTGTCCCGGCTCTTGTTGTTGTTGCTGTTGCTGCGGCTGCTCCTGCTTCTGCCCCTGCTGCTGTTGTTACTAAATTGTTGCTGCTCCTGCTGTTGCTCCTGCTTCTGCCCCAGCTGCTGATGTTACTAAATTGTTGCTGCTGCTGCTGCTGCTCCTGCTTCT